CTTTCCTTGCTTGGTATCAACAACCCATTAAAAAAAAAAAAAAAAGATAAAAGACAATACTGTCTCTTTTAGCACCTGGCAAATTGTTTGTCATTGAGTATATGTCTCGTGTAAGCATTTTTCCTCAAACTGTCACTGTTTCCATTCTTTTTAGAGAACCTTTATTTGGCATTTTCCCAGAGAGTCTAAATTTTTTTTGATTTTCGTTGATACTTTTCATACCAGAAAAAGAGATCATAACTTATGTATAGACTACCTAAAGCCTCACAGTGCTGGGCCAAGTGCTTGTCCTTATCTCATCTATCTTGTACTGAGCTAACTCCAAAGGAGAGTTGTTCAAATATCTACAAGGAGACACAGCTGAAAGAACAATTTTGCCCTTTTTTGTTATGTTAACCACCAAACCTTTAATATAAGCCCAAAACTGAAATCTTCAGTCGCTTCTAAGGATCTGCTGTCTTGTACGAGGAACTAAATAAAATCTGTTCTATAAATAATATACAGATAAATAATATAAATAATTCTTTTCATTTTGTTATGATAACCACAGTATTAACTCAGTACATATTTAGTAATATGGTCTGTCATTATCTGAATTTATACAGCACCTCATCAGGTTCTTTAAAATCTGGGAACAATGGAACTACCTTTTCCAGTTTTCTGCCAGGTGTTCAGGTGCATTCATTCACCCCTTCTTTTTTCCCCCCCTCCAGATTTCCTCTGACCTGTTGTTAAGGTGCTGGTTTTTAAGTTAAGGAATTTGCTGACTGGAAAAATACACCTTCTGACTGTTATGAGGACTCAAAATTGGATGGTTTCATATGAAATATATCTTATCTCAAAAGAAATACTGTGCCTGAACTCAAAATCAATCCAGTACCAAAGCATACACAAGGAAGAACTACTGAAAATAATTTGATTTCTGTCATTCTGCAGTGGTTACCAAGTATGTTTCTTGATAATGATTGATAATGAGTATGGTATCTCAACATTACGCTAAATTTTAGACAAGTAGAACACAGTAATGGGAAAGCAGTGCTGCAAACAGGAGCAGGTCTCTTAAAAGAATCATGAAGGTAGAAGGGCCAAAATATAAGACTGTTTTTCCTAAACTCCTTGTAAATGCTAGCATTGATTATAAGGAATGGACTGCTACCAGAATAAAATTGCCTGGTGTAAAACTTCACTTTAAATATTTTATTTTTCTCTTAAAACATTTTTAATAAGGGTCACACATGCATGAGTTGCAAAAATGCCAAGAATCTGTAGCTCTCAGTATGCTGAGGATCATTTCCTCTTTAGAATGAGATTTTTCCATTCAAATTTAAGACTTCTGGCATCCAGTTTGGTTTATTTGTGCTGTTTCAGTTCCTCAGAGATTTTGAAAAATTACACACAAAAATACCTCTAAAATGGAAACAAAAAATGAAACTTCAAAAGTACTTGTAAAACTGTACTTTCTAAATTATGATTCAGACTGTTTAAAACTACCTTTCATTTGGCTTTTTGGAAGTTTCACCAGGTTCCAAGAAGTCTCTAGGAGGCCTCCCAGAAAATCCTCAGAGCTGGTTTAATGCTGATAAACCCTTTTTCCCTGGCTGCAGGTCATACAGTAGATTTTTAAATATCTGGGCAGATGACATGGAAGATATCTGAGAGGGTTTGAAATTTGCATCATTTCATGTCATATTTATGTGCAAATGAGTCAATGTCTGTGGATAGCTTTCATTTAAAAACACTAGGTTTTTCAGTAGAAAAATATTCCTTTGATGAATCTGCAGTATGTTCAGGATTTCCTTTTTCTAATCAATGCCAGTACAATCCAGTTAATAGAACTAAAAGTGAAATTGAGTCATGACAGGATTATTGACATTCTGTTTTGAAAACACTCACAGACTGTCTAAATCCTGACTAGTAAATTGCTGACACAAACTCCAAGCTTTTCCAGGGTAAATAGGAGATGCAGGTGCTGACCTATGTCATTGTGAAGCTGCAGCTCCTATGGTGGTTCTGTCTGTTGCTCTTTCTCCCATCTCAGAGCAGCTTTCTGAGATGCTACCACTAGCATGCTCAGGAATGTTAGTTCCTATGTGACGTGGTGATGTGCCCAAATTAAAAGAAAAAATTAAATGAGATGGTTTATGTGGATTTTGAAACTTCTGACGCAGAGTCATTCCCTCAAAATTTGATGTTGCTGTCATTGATTTTAGTAATATCAATTGTGTTTCATCTCTGAACTCTGAAGCATTTTACAGAGCAAAATAAATACCATCATTTTTATTTCACCAAGTGAGAGGGAAACTGAGGCAAGAGTGGCGAATTGACTTACACTTGACCAAACAGGATTAGCAGAATCCAAGACTGAACCTCCAGTCAGGTTCCATCCATCCTCTACCACAATAGCAGTGATTGCCTGAGTGCTCAGCTCACCCCTCTTCTGTGAATAATGAGTAATACTATTGAAAATTCTCACATATCTTAGAATATAAAAAAATTGTTCACAAATGTTTACTCATATTTTTAAACAGCATTGTGAATGCGTGGGCCCTCTCACTGTGTGCGTTTTTCATTAATATCCTAGCACAGGAGCTTGTTGACAGGCATGTCACTATAGTAGACAGTTGGATGTTTAATTTTGAGGAATTTCTGCGTGAAGTAAATATTTGATGTGCAATGAGTAGTTTGACTTGATACATATATTTGTCCATTCAAGGAACAGCCCTGCCCCTTTGCCCTTCGCTCCACCAGACTGCCTGCACTCGAAAGAAATTGTTTGAAATAACACGTATACGCTGAGCAGTATTCACAATCAATTGTATCCAAGAAAGGGACTGTAGTCACTATTTAGTAAAGTTTATTAAATAGTTCATGTTATGGGTATTCATTTTCTTGGTACATTTTCAGGAGACAGCTTGGGAAAAACACTCTCCTGAAGTCTAATCAGGAAAATGTTTTCTGTAAATGTGTCTTTTTTGTCAAGTGGATAATTTGATGTTGCAGCATGTTTGAGATTGGGTCAGTTAGCCCCAGCAGTGTAATCAGTCCACACTAATTCTGTTTGTGGGCTGTGTGCAGCTTTTCTTCCCTGTGTTGAATTTTGCCCCTCTCATGTGAAACTGTAGTCTGTGGGCAAGGCTTGGGGCACCCTCATGAGGTTCCTTTCTTTCATGTGATGCAGTGAAGGGTCTCTGTGTGGCACAGATAGGGTGATAATGAGGAGGTGAGGGGTGGTCTTTCCTCAGGTGTGTGACCTGCCATTAGATCTGCACACCCTCAGTCTCACAGCCAAGCTCTGTCTATACCATTACTCTTTCCTATTAGTATCAATAAGTCTCAATAGAGAAGAAATTAGAGAGCCACAATGAATTGGATGAATTCCCCTCTTAGCAAATGTGCTACAAACCTGTTGTTTTCTCTGTTTTGTGTTAGGACTGCTTTTGTCAAGTCATAGCACATTGGTGCTTAACCCAGTGCCTTTAGCTGTTGGTTTCATTATCATAAGCTTATTCATATGCTTCTAGCTCTCTTTTTGTGTATAATGAGTAATTAGTGTAATTTAATATGTCATTGTTGCTGCTTTTTCCTGCACAGAATAATAACAAAAATCCAGTATAAGTGTAAAGTTCATCACACTGTAACTCTTCTTAGATTTCTGTGCATCTCCAGATAAGTCCTCAACAATGATCTGGGGTTTGACAGATGACACTTCTAAAAAACTCTGTACATACATAAAAGAGGTTCAACATATGCAGATACTTTGGGATAACATAGAGTAAAATATGTCTTTTTCAGAAGAGTGAGATAAAGCCAATTATGACAGCTTTAGTGAATTAGGCAGTGGAAACAATCTAAGGATGACTGACTGATGTTTAGCTCAGTTAATTCCAATTAAAGCCTACATAGTAATTTTAAAATCTGATGTAGAAATGTCCTGTTGCTATTCGCTCTGTTTTTTATGAAGATTTTAAATAAGTGGCATCACCTGGATTGAATACTTATTTTTAAAAGGATTTTTTGTCAATTTTATGGTTAAAATTGCAAAACCTTCCCAAAATATACATGCTAGTAAAAAGAAAATTGTACAGAAGTCTTTATCTCTTTATTTAGGCATCTAAAAGACATCACAGACTACTCATGTTTTTCTCCTGTATTTATCATTGAGATCACTAGATGCTTCTTGTATTCATTTTAGTTTGCTGATCCCTCTTGTATTCTCTGTCACATGTATATTTCTCCCAGCACATGGACATATATTAATGTCATGTTTGTTTACATGATTGTGAAGATTATTGTTTTACTTCTGAAAGAGGTAGTGCACATGTGCTATGAGTAAACTGTGATAATCTATGTAAATTATGTGCACAGAGCCATACTCTGCCCCTGGGGAAAATGCAAATTAGAACATTTTGTAGTTTGTTTGTTTTTAAATACATACACTTTTCACTTCAAGGCTCAGGACAGACTCCCTGTTTATTTTCCCATTGCTCATCATTTGCTATTCCTTGTAAATATCTCAGTCTTTAATGATTAGTTTGCTACTTTGGCAAGGAAAAAAATGCTTGATGAGTGAAGTCCTCAGAACGTTATGTTTGGTGTATTTTATAGCTCAGCTGTAACGGAATTATCTGCTTGTAAAAGGGTGTATAACACACTCACGACTCAAAGCCATTATTGTGATCTGACAGTCTTCATTCATTTTCTCCCCGTGCTGTCTTGTTTTCTTCTTTTACATTAGTGTTTGTAATATTTTTTAATCCTGCATTACTAACATATATTTAACTGATTTTTCTTATGTGAAGCAAGAAAAGCATATTCATAAAATGTGTTGTTTACTGCGCTTGCAGTTCTCTGCATATGTAATTTTTTTAATAATAAAATTATTTTTATACTCTTTAAGTACCCTCTCGGAGAAATGTTTTAATGTAAGTTGTCTGATTCTATTTTAAGTGAAGGAGAAAACCTGGTAGAGGTTGTCTCTTTAAATCAGATCTGCAGTGTCGATGGACCCTCTAGCAGGCACGGTAAGAACCATTCTCACCTCTGCAGCAGGGAGCTTGACCATATAGACTCTCACATTCAATCAAAACGTTTTCCGTTTTAATATGCACTGTACCAATCCTATTCCCATGGTTACAGCCTGTGCTTCTTTGGTTGCTTCCAGTCTGTTGGAAAAGGAAGGCAGCATACATTTCTTGTACAGGAGTTTAAAACATCACGAAAGCAACCCTGTTGTGATTTGCATTTTAAATGTTTCTTTTTTTTTTCTCATTGTACAGAATGCTGTAGCAGTAGCTTCAGTTCATTTGCCACAGTCTGTCTTCTCTCAGTCTTCAGCCTGGCAATCTGTTGATAACTCCACTTGCAAGCTACAGTTTATTGTCTTTCGGAATGGAAAACTCTTTCCTAGCACAGGAAACTCATCAAATCTTGCAGATGATGGGAAACGTAGGACGGTTGCCACACCAGCTGTTTTTGCTAAAATAGGTGAGGAGCTGTTATGCATTATTTTCTTTAATCTAAAAGCTATGGTGTACTTGATTATGTAGAGAATAGAGGAGTATACAGTGTGTTGAGAGGCTGGAAACAGTCTCTGTCTTTAGTACAACGTTTATATATTTTCCTGCCTGCACGATTTTATTCAGATTGTCCTGCTAATAAAGATATGCACTTGCACTATGATCAGAATGCAAATTCTGGACTACTGTTTGTTGTCAGTGTTGTTACAGATGCTTCTGTCTTAAAGCACAGTGCTATCGGAAGGAGCCTTGTTTTACTCTTTACAATGAAAACTGCAGTGTTAACATCCTAGACGCTGATAAAAATAAGGCTTTTGGAGTGGGAGTAGTGCCCTGTTGCATGTATCAATACTCAGCAGTGCTTTCTGATACGATGGATGTAAAACAGGTGTTGTTAAAGACTTTTGTCTAAATATACTATATTGTATGTGCTAGTGTGGCATTATTTTGATCAATTATTTACCCATGCAATTTTACTAGTTTTGTTTGGTACTGAATAGTGCTCTCATTTCTGTTAATGCTTTTAAATGTTTAAATGTGACTCTGAAAGTGCAGAATTGTCTCAGCTATTAATCGTACCTTGAAACTGAGCTGTTTCTGCAGTTACATGGGCAATAGTGTAACACCAGTCATAACTGAGGAATCTGAAACAGAAAAAGATCTGCTTTGTGAAGGATGATTAGATCATTTGAAAACATTATGGACTGAAATGTTCAGATTTATTTATACTATTGCAAACTTTTCAGAAGTGAGCACTGCCTTCGATTTCGACCATTAAGCTTATATGTCTCTGGCTTTTTTGCCCATAGTTTAGTGTGTCTGATCTCTTTACACAGCATTCAGCACTAAAGGGTTTTCCACTCCCATCTCTCTGATTTAGTTTGTTGCTTTTACAGATGGGTGCAGATTTGGAAACCTCACCAGCCCTCTAACAATAGGATTGAGGCACTTTGCACGGGGAATAGACCCCATTGCAGCCTTCTGGGATTTTGACCTTCTAGATGGACATGGAGGCTGGTGGGGAGAAGGGTGCCACATAATTAGTTCTGCAGGCAATATAACCACCATTCAGAGTACGCACTTCAGTAACTTTGCAGTGCTAATGGTAAGTATATGACTTAGCAAATATATCTATATTTCTCTCTCTCTTTTGCCATTTATATATGTTCTTTTTGTTTCACTCTTATTTATCAGTAGCTGACCTTCTGCTTTTTACAATGTTTAGTATAAGACAGTCTAAAAGAAAGTAAGTTATTAACTGCTAGTAACTGAATAAACCTGGTGGTCAGTTTTAATAACCAGAGATGGGCCTAAACAGAAATGACATGGAATTCAGTTTTACAAATGAAAGTTCCATCAAGGAACGATTAGTATGTAATGGTTATAAATTATAGGACAGGGTTTAAAAAATGTATACCCCTGTGTGCTTTTACATCAGCACATCTCAGAAGCTGGTCTGCTTTTGTTCTTGCCCTGCACTGTGTTGATCATACTAATTAGTTGCAGGCATACCGCAATGTTGAATCATTTAATAAATGGAGAGGAATAACATCTGCTCTTTTAAGTAATGACAGTGCTGTCCTTGTTGATTCTGTAGGAGTTTTAGTTTGTATACCAATAGCCTACGTATAGAATTGCAGTTTGTGAAGAAAAATGTTTCTGTGCAGTGCTAACACATCAGCCTGATTTGCTGTGTTCTCAGTCACACTTACAGTTCCTATTGCAGTTATTTAGCTAACCTGCTTAACAGAAACTTACCTCCATGAAAGCAAAAATTTGCTGTATGCAATAATGACCTGTTATTATTCAGGGAATAAAGGGAAGAAAATAAAAAATGAAAGCTTTCTAATGTATATAGGTAAGAAAATCTTTGCACCATTAAAAATACTGATTATTAACCAGTTGTAAAAAGATTAGCCAGATGTGTGTTATTAATACTAGATTGATCCTGAATGCTGATGCATGATTGCATTGTAGATGCTGCTTGTGTATATTATAGAAATGTTTAGAGTTGAGTAAATAATGTATTGTGTGTATGCGTAAGGGACAGCAAACATAGGCGACTGGAATTGTGAGGACGTGTGCAGAGAATACCAATCTGCTGCTGTCAGATGGTGCCCAGATGGCAGCCAATCATAGCACAAAGCTGTGGCACCCACGAGTTAAATGCAGATATTATCGTCCACTTTGTAAGAACTGATTTCCCTGAGACTTACTTGAAAATTTTTTCACCCATTCCAGAATTGTTCAGAGTTCAAGAGCTGTTCCTCAGATTTGACGCCATCAAATGCGCCTCATTTTCTACAGCTTTTATGAGCTCCCTTTTCCCCCCCAGCTGCTTGGTTCTCATTATGTGAAACATAATTTTGCTTTGAGGATGTTTTTCTAAATTCATTGAAGAAAGCACCTGTTGACTTTGCAGGTGCCACACCCAAAATGGCTTCCTCCTCCGTCAACTGCTTGAGTTCAGCCTGTTCTTAAACTTTGAGTAGTTACTAAATCTTAACTAATGGTTTGCAAACACCTGATTTCATAGTTTCATCTTGTTTGAAAAAAAACTTGAATACTGACACAAGGGCTAAAATTAATTTTTGGTTTGTAATGCTGAATGCACATTGGTCTCTGATAAGATGTAGGAGATTGGTTTTTCTACAACTGTAAAGGCAACTGAGGCACCTTTTATGGCAGCTTTTGCATCTGGTATGTAATTCTGGTTTAGGTCTTGTGTTTGTTTTGTTACGATATTTCAATTTTGGTTTTTTCTGCTTATGCCTCTTCCATTTTTATCTGTGCAAGACAAGAAAGTAGAATCTTAGACTCACCTTTGCTTTGCAATTGCTGTGGTAGCAAACAATGTGCTATGTTCCTTAGCTCATGTTTCACAGCCACTTCTAAGAAAAAAGATGACTTAGGTGATTTTAATATACATATGCACACATATGTTTTCCAACAGTTGTTTTTTTAAACAGTTATTGAAAAACTTCTGTACCTTCATTATGTGCCACCACTATCATTCAAATGTTATTTCTTAATCACTATTTTCTGGCATAAAGTCAAGGGTTGTTTTATTTGACAGAGGCTAACTATGCCATTATGGACAGTTCAATTCTCATATCAGGAAAAATATTTCATTGTTCTGCATAGCTATTAATTTAGAATATGTACAGTATAAAGTGCCTATGTGTACCCTCTTCATTCACACCTGTGTGTCTAATCTATTTTAAAATACTAACAAACTGTCAGCAAATTCAAAGTAGCTGGCATGTGGTATGTAGCCAATGAAATCAGCTGCAATATCATGATATATGTTATTCATCTATAACTCTCTAATCTCTGAAAGAATAAATATTCGTCATTGATTATTATGGTTTGGGGTAATAGCAGAAAACTGAAGTAGCATCTGTAAACTGAAAAGAAACAACGAAGCTTTACATTGCCATCAGAATAATGTATATCCTGCTGTGGAACAAGGTGAAACAGAAGCCTCAGTTAATCCAACTGTCCATTCTATAGCTAGTATACCACATATTCTGATTTGTCATCATTTTTAATTGTAAGACAAAGTTTCCTAAACTGCTTTCATGGAAGTTGTTTATGCCAATGTACTGTCAAAGGGTTAAAATAAAGGTTTCATAGAGTCCTTTTTTAGAAAGGCAGCAAGCAAGGATTTATCAACTGTGATTGATAATTAATAAGCATAAGCATACTTCAAGTGAGAGGATTCATGTAGAACCATTTGATTTCTCCGACAGTTGTTCAAGTGATGTCAGTGAGACAGAGTATAGTTTGGAGGTTGGGTTGGAAAGAAGGTACAAGTGCCTTCTCTCACGTGGTCTCACACTTTTACTTTGCTCTGGGTTGGGCTAGCAAATAAAAGTAAAATAGTAGAGTCAGACATAATACAGAATTATCTTTTTCTGGTCAACTTTTGAGTAGTATGTCCTAGGGGTGAGAGTAAAAAACGGTGAACTGACTCCCAAAGTATATTCCTGTCTTTCCCTTCATACACACTGTGTTTAGACTGGTCCCCTATTTTGTCTTTTCTTCTGTTATCTCTAGGAGGAAGAGAGACAGTTACACTCATGTTTCTTTTGGATGTGGCCAAAGCTCCATAGGGTCCTGAACTCTGCAATATGATTTTTGATTTTAGAGTAAAACTCTGAACTTATATACTTCGAAGCTTTGGTACATCTAATGATAAGGATTTGTTCTATAAGTACTGTGTATTTGTGCTCATGTGTGAACAGAGCCGTATATCAATATCTTAATGTTTCAGTACAATGTGTATGTCAATTTAGAGCCCTGAGTAAAAACTCTTCAGGAGATAACAAAAAGATCCACAATATTGAATTTCAAAATTTGCTCAATGTGTTTTAGCATACGTTGTCCTCTATTCTTCCTTTTATTTTTCTTAGAATGGAAATTCAATGTGATAGATATTACTGTAATAGTATACATCATTTCCTTCCCCCTTAGACTGCTTTGTCAATAGTAATTTCCTCAAATCTGCCAAATAAATACAAGTAAAATCCTTAAGTCTTAAGTATGAAATTTCCCAATTAATATAAAATGGATGAACAAATATTGCTAGCATTTTTAATTGTAATCCTAAAAATAGGTTAAATTAGCTTAAAATTATAAACAACTCCTTTCCTGTTTTGTCACAATGTGTCTCATTAATCCAACCAACATAGGTGTGTTTTTTGTTGGATTTTTGGTTTTGGTTTGTGAGTGTAAGGAGTAATTATTGCAAAAGTAGCATCCGTCCGATGGACACTTATATGAGATAATTAGGGCTGAGGAGACTAAGCTGACAAAATCAGCAAATTTGAAACTTTTCTGGAAGCAAACCATGGGAAACTGTGTGAATGAGTAATTGAAGAGGGGCAAGATACTAGGAATGGATCATGGTCAGCGTTACGGGAATTTTCTCCTGTTGTTTTGCAAGCATGCCCTGAATCTTTGGAGTCTTTCCAAATTAGTAGGATCACAGTACCACAAAAACTAATTTTTGAATATTTTCAGTGTGACAGGAGACAATTGCAGAATTTCTTAAGCCTATTAATGAAGTTCAGTTCTGAAAAAAGTCTTACAAACTTCCATCTTTCAGGTCTTCTCCAAATTAAACAGCCTGTCTAAGCCTTTTGAGAAATTAATTCATGAGTCGGGGAAGTATTACAGAGATGTCATTTAGAAGGGTGACATAATTACAGTATTTGACATTTTCTCCATAGAGAACACAGGGTTTTCTCATAACAGGCTGTGGAAACACGGTTCTGTACTTGAAAAATCAGACTGCTTATAACGAGAGGTTTAAGAATGAATCTTTCAAAATTTTTTTGTGTGTTTAAACACCTGGTTTAAACACCTTCAGAATAGATGTTATTAGAATTTAAGCACCAAAGACTGTCAAAGTGATCCAGAAAGTTTCCCTGCTATTTGCAAAATTAACATTTGGTGTAGTGGGCACTGCAAAATTCCCTGGAATTAGTTTCCCCTGCATGTACGTAGATGTTCCCCCATATGTAGAACTAGATTTCTAAGCTCTGTTGTCATGCAGGAGGCACATACCGTTCACCTAAGTTCTCAGCTGGCATATACTGCTCACTGCACATCTAATGCTCATTCTCCTAAGAGAATGCTTAGCCTGTATGGACAGTATTGCATCCAGCTTCCCAGAAAAGTTGCTTTTTAAAGAATATTCCAGAATGTGTCAATTTTTTGCACAAAGCCTTGGAATGACAGTATTCTTAAGAACAAGATCCGGCTTTTATTCCTTTCTCCTTGGATTGCATCTACATTTTATTAAATTGCACTTAATAATAGCTATTATTTCCTCTGTAAAATGCATAAACTGGCTTGGTATTTGGGTCAAAAATCCAGGCTTGTCTCTTTCAAAAAAAAACAATTTTGCCACAAACCAAGAGTCTGGCTCAAGCTCACTCTTGCTATTTGTTCTTCCTTTCTATTGGCTTAATGGATCTTGCATTCTTCATGATACAGCTTCAACCAGAGGGTAAAGAGATTCAGACTAGAGAGCTCAGTAAAATGGGCCAGCTCTTGGGAGATAGAAGATGTAAGTTAAAGATTAAGAATCTAGGTCTTGAGGCATCTTACTGTCTTGATGGCTTCCACTGGCCTCCTTTCAATTCATCAATATTTTTCTTGTATTGAAGTGCCTAAAACCAAATACAGTAGTTGAGATTTGGGCTCACAAGTGGTGAGAAGGGAAAAATCACTTCCCTCAGACTTCTGCCTGCACACCTGTTAATATGGCCCAATATGGGGTTCATCTCATGTGCCACGAGTGCTCACCACTGCCCTGCTTCCTATTTATTTTCCACTGGGACCTTCTGATCCTCTTCTGCAAAGCTTTTTTCCAGTCAGCTGTCTCCTAGCCTGTACTGGTGTCAGCATTACTCTGTCCCAGAAACAGAAAACTTTGTATTTCTCTTCGCTGGATTTCCTCAGGTTCCTGTTAACCCATTTCTCTGTCCTTATGAGATCCTGCTGTATAGTTGTCCTTCCCTCTGACACATCAGCTGCTCCACTTAATATGCATTGCATTGTTTTCAGTTCTCCGTAAGACCCAACTCTGTGGATAATTTCCATATTTTGGTGCTCCTAAACATCCAAATATTTGGCATCTAATTTTTAAGTTTGGTTTGGTTGGTTTGATTAAATAGTAGGAATCTTAAAACAAATAGGATTCTAAATCTGATCATGACTCTTCAAATTGCTTGTGTTTCTCAGTCTCTGTGGTGCTTGGATATTACTCATCAGGAAGCACAGTTTTGGGTGTACTGCTTTAAACACAGAAACCAGTTGCACTATACTTCCTAACATCATACTATTACAAGCAATATGTTAAAAACAAATGTTTAAATTGCCAATATAAATAGATGGATGACAAAAATTTACATCACAAACTGGATTGTTTTAGCAGTTGTGATTTGGTGAAAGTACCAGATATATAGTATTGGTTTCCTGTATCTTTCCCTCATCTTTCTCAGCATCTGCCGTGAGATGTCTTAGGGCTGCCTTTAGTATGTAATCTGTCTATACCTCTTTATACTTTCGTGTTGAATGTTAACTGAACAGAATAGATGTGTCTGTTTCACAGGATCTTTGGAATGAAGCATCAATTTAGAGTGAAACAGTTCCATTTGCACTCTGATGTTTTTAGAATTCTGACTGTTGGATGAAATAGCTGATAAAAACTCTCTTCTATCACTAATTTCCATCACTGGTTTCTATTGTGCTTTATATATTTTTGTGACATTTACAGCTAAAAGAAGCTGTTTAACACCTTCTTGTAAGGGTGGATGAATGACAAATTCTCATTAGACAACATGTAATGGGTCTTGTACTTGTAGACACCAGTTTGTAATGGTCAAATTATTATATGTATTAATTTTTCTGCAGATAATTCCTGCCATTTATTGATATCATCATCATTTGAACCCCCTCTAGGAACTAAAATCAAATCCAGCTTTTTAAAATGTAACATAAAATTATGCTGCTTTGTGTACAGCATTAAAGAAATGCTTGTTTTCTGCATGTTGTCTTCCCCAGAGGATTACTCCAAGGAGGTTGACAGATCAATAAAGTTTAATTATCATCAAAGAACAGACAAGATAAATTTATTATATATCTATAATGAAATCAGTTTTCAGTATACAAAACCCTTAAAAAGAATATTCTACATTGGCATTAGTGCATTATCATCCTCAAAAGTTTTGCCAGTTATTTACTGTAAAAGATTCGACCAGAAATAATAATAAAAAAATTCATATTTTGAAATGAAATTAGGTTAAAGATGCTGACTGTTCTTCTTTCTTCTGCAGGCAAAAATGGTTATACTCCTGTAGGAAACATGACATTTGCTTTTATACTGATGCTCAAACATAGCGATAGGTTGAACCTTGCATTTCCACTATTAAAAACTAGTCCTTTAGTACACTGCATGATGCTAGCCAGGTAAAATTGCTTTCATGTGCTATTGGTATACCAAAATATTGTTATATCAGTAAGAGATAGCAGTAAATATTTTAGGATTTTTCAGTAGAGTGTTTCTATTTAAATTGTCCAATGTTTACATTACTACTCTAATAATATCACCCAAAATTGTATTGAAAATTCCTAGCAAATACTAGTGTACCTCAGGAAACTCACTCTGTAAAAGAATTAATAGGGAGATGACACAAATAGAAACATGTGAGTAAAGATGAACAAAAAAGGGTGTTTGAGTAGAGATTCAGTGGCAGGTCTGAAACAATACACTTTAAAAGTTGTATTTGAAATTTGTGAATTCAGTATCATCCTGAATGCATATTCATGCATGCTAAAAATAAAAAAAAATTTTAAATCAAGAGAAGGTCTTAAGAGCATAGGTCTGTCACATTGAAAAGCTAGCACATCAGAAAGAGTTCTTTTCCTTTTCTATTCCATTTGTGGTTGAGGGAAGAGTAGCAAGATATTGACATCTCCAGATAAGACAGCATAAGCTGAGTTATCTCTGTGAGAAAGGACTCCACCTCTCACTGAGTTTTGGTGAACTGGGCAGGGATGACAGAGGACTTGTGTGTGGGACAGGTTGTGCCTGGCAGATTTAACTGAGGTACACATGCAAGCTGGGGAAGTACATGAAGAGAAATGGGATGTTGCCATCTTCTTCATAAGTTGCTGTTCATTTTGGTGGTCATTTTTAGATATGTTGTAAACTGCTCTGTTTAGAACTGACATTCATATGCATCTGCAAAAACTGGAACAATCAATCTTGGGAACTTTAAAACTAGTAATGAAGAAAAATAATAACTACTAGGGCAACTATTATGCATAAGGACCTTTTTGGAAGGTAAATGGAATGGTACCTTTTTCCCAGTTTAGTAATGCACATTAGCTGCTTGTACATGGACAAGTTCATATACATAAATAATGATGCAAGAAAATCAGCTCTCTGCATGTAAATGCAATTAGAAAGAGGTATTAGCATTACAGTCCTAGTCTCCTAATGGGAGATTTCACCTCTGGAAAATAATGTATTGGATCTTTTTCTAGGGGAACCTAAAACTGACAATAAGAAAAAAAGTCTTTTAGATGTATTCCAGTATTTTCAGTGCTAGAATTTGCTGGATTGTCATACTTAATACTTTTTCAGATTTTTGGTTTTTCGGTGCTGGGATGTACATTCATTTTTGTGTGCAGTGTTAGTGGCACTGCACATGGGAACTGGCATGAGATGTCACTTTGTTTGCACTCAGGTGATAGGGTTTTTTGTATAATTTTTAGTATTTTCTTGCAAAAATGTAGTGTCACAAAATCATGTGGCTTAATGTATTACAGTGAACCTCTGAATTCAGGTAGTCTGAAGACATACAGTTTTATGTAATGGACTCCTTTTGCTTTCCATCCATCACACATCCAGATTTATCTCTCTTGTTATTTCTTACGTGTGAGATCCAGTAATTTAGAATGTGAATCTGATATGGTTAATTTTACAAAGATACTGATAGTTTTTCATTAGGTTTTTCATGAAGAACTGTCAGTAGGCACTAAGATGTCCAAAAGGAATGCATGGATCTGCTATAGGGAGTAGAGTATTTGCAACTAAGTGTGAAGGTCACTGGGTCAGAGGAGATGCATCAGCTGGGAATTATATTTGAATACAGGAGCGAGGCAGTTGATGGCAGTTTTGGGTGTATTCTTACAGCAACACATATGCCATTTAGATACCTTTATGGTAATTTGATATTTTTTACTAAATATCCTAGTAAAACACACACACAAAGTTCATGTTATCAGAAGGAACAGATACTGCTAATGCCTGGAAAATGTAATATTCTTTTATAAGACTTTTTTTTTTAATTAGGATGTGACTGCTTGTACAAACAGGTTAATTTCAGTCTTACAAAGTGTATGGAGATGAGGAAAGAGCAGTCTGATGTTGCTGTAAATTCATGAACTGTATCTACATTAAAAGTACGTCCTTTTTCTTTCCTGCCCTTGAAAAGGAACAGCTAGAAATGACAGGACATATTGAAACGACATCTCAGTTTCACACATGCCTAAAAATGTTAAATCATTTTGCTTTCTCCGTAGGATTTTAAGACAGTGCTGTCTTTCCCCCAGTACCCAGGGGAGTTTCTGCACCCTGTGGTTTATGCATGTACTGCAGTTATGTTGTTGTGCCTGTTTGCTTCTATTATTACCTACATTGTCCATCACAGGTAAGAATTACATTTTAAGCACTTGTGTTAAATGATTATGCTGAGGTACTTCAATTTTTTTAACCCTTACTGTAAAGATAAATTAAAATTATCTGAATTACTGTGGGATAATAATAGCAGTGATGTGATTTACACCAGAGAAATCAAAACAAAGGTTATGTCAACCTGTCTTAAGCTGTTCCCAAACTGTATCTTTCCTGACAAGCATGTCTGCACACTGTTCCTAAGATGTGTAACTTGACAGTTCAATATATAAAACCATTAGCACTATCAAATTGCTTTCTGGTAAATTCCAGTCAAGCAGCACTTTGGCCAGTTACACTGGCCATATTGGTTTCTAAGACCAAGTTTGGTTGAAAGACTGGCAACTCTCCTTGGATAAAAGAAACTTGCTTTGTATTCTAAATTTGGGGTTGAGAAAACTTGTGTTTTCCTTTGTATGAAAAGTTTATATAAATGCCATTTTAAGTACATACTTCTGTTAAAGACCATTAGCAATTTAAAAGAGTAGGAATGTATTGTACTGTAGAAGCTGCTAAATATTAATTAAGTTAATGCCATGTCTTCTGATCTTCAGCTTCCATTTCATCCTTTAGAGATGTCTTGTTAAAGTTCTGCATATCTGAAGCTATGCAATAAGCCTTTTGCTTTTAGTGCCCTGCTTTAAATGCTTGATTTGATGAAGAAAACTTTAAATCAGTAGGCTGCTACAATTTTTACTGTTGATTTTACCTTTTTATCATTGGTTTTAATGCTGTCAGACTGCCAGACATAAGTCAGACTGTCTTATAGGTAGACTGCTACACAGGCATTCAGAAAACAGATAATTTAATTCTAGCATATTAACTATTTTTTCCAAATAGTAATTTTCATAATAGATATTTTGGGTTTTAATTTTAAAATTTGATTTTTTTAAACAGCACAATCCGAATAAGTAGAAAAGGATGGCACATGCTTCTCAACTTTTGTTTCCATACTGCTCTTACATTTGCTGTTTTTGCTGGTGGAATCAATCGCATTAAGTATCCAATTATATGTCAAGCTGTAAGTATCTGACTTAGTAATTCTTACTAATAGAATTGAAACTTGCAACTGAATTTTTTAAGCTAATAGTTCTCCTTCTTTTCATATATTGCTCCTGGATCTTAAGTTCTTCAAAATAAATCATTATAAGCATGTCTTTTACAGGCCAGCACTAGAAGTGTTCAGTGTTTGGTTGTCACCTGAGTTTCTGGGAGAGGGTGATCAATGCATTAACTTCTCTGAAGCTCAGGGTTCCTTGTTTTTAAAACCAATAATCCCTGAAAATATTTCTCTGCTGTACAGGACTGTTGAAAACTATGTATCCCAAATTTTTTGTCTTTTCTGTTCTTTGGATTGTATGTGTGGGACTAGAGTTACTGCTTTGCTTTTGTAATACACACACCGTTTGCCTGAGGGTGGCCCTGGCTTCACAGGGTGATCCCTAAATAATATTTCATTACAACTCAAGCTAAGGAGATCATACTGGTCTCCTGTGACTTATGGACCCTTGTTAGCACTGCTGGACTGTTTCACATCTCTTGCTTTAGCCTTTTTGGGGCAATAGTGCTGTAAAATGAACAGAGAGGGATGGCTCTGAATATAGAGGTTGAGCCTATGCAGTATGTAAAGAGAGTAATTGCAGTCATCTTCTGTAATGCCTGATGAGGGCTTGTTGCAATTTGTTTTTCTTAAATATTTCTTCCTCTTGGATTTTGTAGAAGTGCTCCAGATCTCATGAATGTTGTTAGCATTTACCTGTAGTAAAGCACTTTATTTAGCCAACATTCTCCCAGACATTTTGCCTGTCGCTACTCTGATTCTTCTGATTGCCATGAATGGGCATAAATAGCAAAAGTCACCAGCCAACAGCAGAGTCACTGCAAAATTTGCATAATTAGTGTAAGAGTTATCACTCTTAATTTTTGGTGAGATGCTTTGGAAGCCTTTTGTGTATACCTGTGCATGACCATCAGTAAACAGCACATGCAGATCTGTGAGCACAGTAGTGTTCTATGTGTGCAATCTACTTATGTGTATTACATGGTATCCATTTAAATTACACAGTTGTCCACTAGATTATTTTGAGATAAATATCTCACAATATATAGTGTATCATGTCATAATTAATCTGTAAGTTCTAGCAAATTGAAATATCACTTACCATCATCTTTATCTGCAGTTTGCAAGTGAGGGTAGAAGATTGGTTTGTAGGGCAGCCATGACCATGTAATTACACAATCACAAATGACCATCTGTTGTTACAGTGATTGTCTGGTTATTTAGTTTGCAGATTGCATGGTAACAATGTGACATTAACAGCTATAATGAAAAATTGATTGAGATAAGTGTGTTCTTAATAGCCCATTATGAGTAATACCTAAACTACAGGGGCATCTTCCTAAAATATATCTGTCTCTTACTGTGGTGTAGGGCCAGATCCTGAGCTGCTGAGAAACATACACGCTTGGAGAAACTGAATTGATCCATTCATGTGTCTTATAATCAGTTTCATAAAGTTATTTATTTACTTGACAACACGCTGAATGGGTTACATCAGGCCGGTGACCGGTCACTAGTGGGTTCCACAGGGCTCCTTCTTAGACCCAGTGCTCTTCATCATCTTCATAAATGACTTGGATGCAGGAGTTGAAGGGTTACTAAGCAAGTTTGCAGAAGATACAAAACTGGGAGGAGCTGTTGACTCCCTTGAAGGCAGAGAGGCCATACAGAGACACCTTGAGAAATCAGAGTGCTGGGCAAGCATCAATCTTACGAAGTTTAACAAGGTCAAGTGTCAGATTCTGGACCTGGGACAGGGCAACCCTGGATGTACATAAAGACTGAGGAATGAGATGCTGGAAAGTAGTGCTGTGGAAAGGGACCTGGGGGTCCTGGTTAATGGCAAGTTGAATATGAGTCAACAGTGTGTCCTGGCAGCCAGAAGGGCCCACAGTGACCTGGGGTGCATCAGGCACAGCATCACCAGCTGTTTGAGGAAGGTGATTGTCCTGCTCTACTCTGTGCTGGTGCAGCCTCACCTTGAATATTGTGTGCAATTTTGGGCACCACAATACAAGGGAGATATAAAGCTATTAGAGAGCATCCGAGGAGGACAGCGAAGATGGTGAAGGGCCTCGAGGGGAAGCCATATGAGGAACAGCTGAAGTCGATTGGTTTGTTCAGCCTGGAGAAGAAGTGACTGAGGGGAGACCTCATCGCTGCATGCAACTTCCTCATAAGGGGAAGTGGCAGGGCAAGCACTGATTTTTTCTCTCTGGCAACTAGTGGCAGGACCCAAGGGAGTGACTTGAAGTTGTGTCAGGGAGGTTTAGGCTGGATATTAGAAAAAGGTTGTTCACTCACAGGGTGATTAGGCACTGAAACGGACTCCCCAGGGAAGTGGTCACAGCACCACACCAAATAGAGTTCAAGAAGTGTTTGGACGATGCACTCAGACACATGGTGGGGTTCTTGGGGATGTCCTGTGCAGAGCCAAGAGTTGGAATCGAAGATCCTCATGTGTCCCTTCCAATTGTGAATATTCTGTGATTCTGTGATGCTACATCAACAGACATCAGTAGTTCAAATATAGGAAAGATACAGGTCACACAAGACACAGACTGTCCTGTTTCCTGGTAGAAATTGTCTGATGTAATTAGACAGGGCTAATGGATGAAATAGTCCAAATGATCCAAGACAACACTACTATAGCTTGTAACAGGATGTACGAGTGTTTACTCCCAGAGCATTCTGCCCCACCGGAGATGTTTCTTGCTTTCTAACAGCAAGTTTTTCAAAATTTTGTGAGTCCCCAGTACCTATGTCCTCCTGTGATAACCATGAGACAATTACTCTGTGAATTAATATTCAAGGTGCTAAAGCTAGGAGGTAGGGGGGTCAAAGATACTAATGGTTTCCCAAGAAGCTCATGTATTTGAACACTCCCCACAGCTTTCATAAGTGGTGGTGGGGTGGGTGGTCAGCACTCCTTCTCTCCTGTGTATGGAATACAGCAATTCTTTAAATCATTCAGCCTAAGGAAATGTATATTTATATAGCTGTTTGGGGCTTCTGTGTCCCTTAAGTGTAAGTTTTCTCTCTCCTTTTTTCTTTTTTTTTAGTCAGTTCTTAAAAAAACATGATACTGGGTTTTAAAATATATTTATGAAAATGTTACTGCTTCAAGCAGCACTAAAACATTAGGTATACTCCAGGTGTAACACTATTAGAGTTGCTATACCACAGCTATCTCTCAGTCTGCTAAAATTCGAAACACAGCTTCACCCTACAGCAATGCAGTGTTCAC